TACCCAGCCACTCAAGAATTCCTCACTTACCCAAATTGGACAAACTCGCTTACTTCATTAAAACCTGAATCTTACCTACATGGAAACAAAGTCCGATCGCCTTTTTCGAACCGAAGAATGTTTCAGCGCTCTTTTCACTATGTGCTTACAAAACATCCGGATAGTGTTAGATTCTTTATATAATCTTTCAAAAATTACAAATAGCAACAAATCAAAGTCGCCCGCGAGAAAATAACGATATTCAATGCTGCTGTACGTTAAAAAAATGCATTAAAATCTGCATTCACTATTCGAAGACGAAAATATTCAACATTTGTCACTTTCATACGCAATTTTCTTAGGGGACCATGAAGATGAGACAAAAAAGTGCTACCGGGAGAACGTTGTGGGTCGATAAGATATTTAATTCTTCATTCATTTTTAATCACATTTTACTCTTTCCGGTTTTAAAAATTTGAGTAATAATCAACAACTTTAGTATTTCCCACTTTTCGCAATTTTTTGAATATCTGCAATTTAAGTTTGTTTAAGTTTAAGTTTTCCTGGACCTCCTGCAGTCGTTTTAGCTTCCAGGTTTTCCTTTTGATTTCAAGCTTGATTTTGATCTTGCTGCACTGTTTTTCCACTTTTTTTCAGCTTTTCATTTCAGTTCCTATTTTGCATCCGAGAAACGTTTTGATCGCTAATTACGTTTCCAAAATTTCCGGCCCAAAGTCGATACATTTTAACAACTTAGCGCTTTAAGTGTAAAACTAATCACACATCAGGACATCAGGCGATGGATAAAAAAAAAACGAAATCCCTTTCTAACTTAAATATTATCAAATTTTATCGTTTCACACCTCCGTGGTTGAATTAAAGCGGCGAAAGTTGGGTGCTTCCACTGTCGGAAAGCGTAGCTCGCGACTTTATCTCAAAAAGTTTATCGTGTAAATTATTACCATCGGCCCAGAGTTGTATTAGACTCGGGTGTACGAGCTCAAAATACCCCGGTATCTGCATAAAAAAATAATTTTAGGTGCTTCTGAAACAATTACCCTGTTAAAATCGTGTTCAGAATGTTGTTGTTAAAGCAGTTTTTGGTTAATTTTCAGTCAATCATCATGATAATTTTAGTCAAAACTTTCGTTTTCTCCATCAATTCTTTCCAGATATTCACTAGTTTCCGTTTAATTCGCGAATTCTTTGAGTGCTGGAATTTCTCCAGTTCTTTCTCATGTTTTACTTTCGATGTCCAAACGGACTGGAAATCTTTTGTGGTTCTTCTCCGTCCACATTCTCCGCAATACTAATGTATTCTTCGCAACTTTCCTCACTCCTCTCGTGTTTTCTTATTGCAACTAATTTGCGCAGCAAATTTCGTTAAAAAAAACATTCAAAAGTTTTGAATTTTCGTCCCGCTGAAACTCTTTTCTTTTTTTCATGTGAGCTGAATGAAGACAGCACCCTACTACTAGACCTCTAACAATCAAACATCACTCATCAATTCTGCTTATTAAGCCCTTATTAATTATCGACAATGACCATTAGGCGTCGATATTGTTTCACGCCAATTACCTGTTAATTATCGTCAAAGAATCGGGAAAAAGGGTTGTGCACGATGGCAAAGAATCGTGCCACCCCGTTCCATTTACAAATAATAATTCTGCAGTGTTTCGTGCGAATCAGCGCCGGTCGATTGATCGGCCCAATGATTTTCTATCGGGTTCAGTTCGATGGAATAATTTAACGAAGCACCCCGAACGTGAAACACGCAGTATATCGGTTCGACCCTTGCGCCCCATCAAAGAACCCCGACGCTTTGAAACTGTTACGGAACACGTGCATTCTGAGGGCTGTTTTACCAACAATATTTACACTCTTCAAGGGAATCGAATTTAAAATATTGGAATAATCACAAAATTGGTGGATGGAAACGTACAATTTTAAAGGTTTTAGAACGGCGCCCAAATCGGGGCATAAAAATTCAGGTTTGACTGCAATTTTCCTGAATTAAACTTATCTCAAAAAGGGTTGAAATATCGATTAAATTATAACAACCCTTCGGATAGAGCAACTCAAAAACTGTTATTTTTCTTCTAGGTTGATCAGAAATCCCTAACCTCTAAGAAAATAGAAGCAAAAATTTGAAATTTTTCCCATCGTCGAAGTTTGAATCCTCCTATCTCAGAAATGGTTGGAAATATCTCTCAGACCATAGAGACCTTTTAGATAGAGCATGTAAAGAACTGCATTCCAACACTGAAGTGTTCCTGTAAATGTCTACCTTCTAAAGAGTTGCAAGCAGAAATTTGAAAATTCTGCGGTTTGTCGAAGTTTAAATAACCGCATCTCCGAAGTGATCAAAAATACCTCCTAAACCCCCAGAGCCTTTCATAAAGAGCACGTCGAAAACGCTCTAGAAAGTTAGAGCAAATGTGCCCTTTTCAATAACCGCCGTTTTCAGATAATCAGACTTTCATAAGCCACGTATAAGAGATAATCAGTGTGTTTTCATTATAAAAACCCCGAATGAAATTTCCTATTTGAATTGGAAGTTTCCCTCGGAAGGAAACAATATTCCCTGAATGCGACTCAGCGAAAACAAACAACTTCGAAAGTTTCCAACAACACGTGCATTCTGAGGGCTGTTTTACCAACAATATTTACACACTGCAAGGGAATCGAATTTAAAA